TACTTATATCATTTAATGTATATATTTGAACTTGTGGCCGTAAAATCCGCCATTACCATTCTTGACCCTTACATATATTTTTTTAAGTTTTGTTTTGCACTCCCAAATCAAACAAATACAAATGAATGTATGAAGATCTACGTAAGGCACGTCTTTAAAAAAATGGAGTCGACGTTAACCATTCGCTTCATATTGTATCAAACACACCACAAAGTTAAAGTTTTTAGCTATACTACGACGGGATAATTTGCAATGCAATTGTATTTTGAGAAAGTCCTCACTTAAATCTTGTATCGGTATTGGTATTTAACATCAGCGCAGTATTTAAACCCCTTTCCTAACACGTCTATTAGTAAACAGTATCGACAGGACGTAGGATCATGAGTAATATTAACTATACATATATAGCAATATATATTTAGTTCTGTTTTAATTTTTCAAATACAAAATCAATGTTAGTACAGATAAAAACAACATTTTAAGATTTTTCTACGGTATTTCATTGATAACATTTCAGAATAAGTTAATTCAATTGATCAATGAGTTAACATGGAAAGTATCTAAAAAAACGGACTCTATAAACAACATCAACGTAAAATTTAGGATGTGATACCCCGTTTTTAATAAAAGGTTCAGTTAAATTTCATAATCAAGTCTTGATAAGGGTGAAGGTTTGGTACCATTAAAACGTTTAAACCCGCAGCAATTGTTTGCACCTGTCCTAAGTCAGGAATCTGATGTTCAGTAGTTGTCGTTTGTTAATGTGGTTCATAAGTGTTTCTCGTTTCTCGTTTTTTGTATAGATTAGACCGTTGGTTTTCCCGTTTGAATGGTTTTACACTAGTAATTTTTGGGGCCCTTAATAGCTTGCTGTTCGGTGTGAGCCAATGCTCCGTGTTGAAGACCGTTCTGATTATGTTGTGATTCATAACAGTACAGAAATTGTTTTGTTTTTTTCCCTTCGTTTTGAATCAAACACCTTTACTATTTTTAATCATATATCCGTTTGAGTTCTATATATTTTGAAAACAGATACTAAACAAAAAAATTGATATTCTAATTATGGTGCTTAATTTGTTGTGTATTTTTACCTATGTATAGTGTACGAACTGTCAATTGATTTTTGCTTATGTAATTAAAGAGTTGTCCATTAGGTCAAACAAGGAGAATAGATAAAAGGTAAGAGTTGGAGTGATAATCAACCGTGACAATAACTGGCCAGGTAATCTATAATTGATAATTGTAAAGATGGAGATTATCTTGGTCAAGGTATTTAGTGAAGGTATACTGCTCTTTAACTGTACCTTTCTCTGTATGTGTATGGGTTGGATTGTCAATTACATATTTACTATATCAATAAACTCTAGGATTAAAATTTTGTACGCCAGACCAAGGATTTGTATACAAATCCTTGGCCAGACCCGCGTTTCGTCTACAAAAGACTCATCAGTGGACAATTTCTTTATTCATTGCAAACAAATCTGGCAAAACTTTGCGAGTGTATAAAGTTTGGGTTAAAAATTCATCTACGACATAATAAATTAGAATTTTGATAATATATTTGACTCAGACGGACTATATAACATATAAGAATAGTTCATAAAAGATTTTCTTTCGAAGTTCAAAATAAATAAGGATAACAGATTTCTTTTTAGATACTATACATGTTGTCTTTTACTGAATTGATGAAAATCTAAGTAATATGTATAATAAAAATCCCCCCCCCCCCACACACTAGTACAGTGATGAAAGATCAATAGATCGATCGTTTAACTAGCATGTATTCATCATTGTATGTCAAAAATTGTTTACATGAGCAAACTCCTTTGTAAGAAAACGGTATTAGTGAGTATTCAAGATAATTATACACGTTTTGAAATGAGGATTCATATAGATCAGTTAATATCGATCTTTTAAAAGGAGCAAATATTATAATTATTTACAAACCTTGTTTTACACTTATTCCATACCAATTCTTTAATATTAATGTACATATTTCCTGACCCTCATATCACATAGTTTACCTGTAATGAGTAGGAGATGTGTATTTAAATGATTGTGTAGGATTTCACCTTTAGTCCCTACGGCGGTGCTTAATGAAGCTTATAATGACGTAGACATGATTAGAGGGACAAACATTTCAGCTCAAAAGGCAATGTTTGTCTTCTATTGATTTCCACTAAAACAAAATTATATCAGTTTATCAGTACCTTTAAAAAAACATCTGCTTCTTGAAACATATGTTAAACTACTCAACAAAACGATCTAGTTAGGGAACAACCATTTAACTTCAAATGGGGAGGAGGGGTATGGTTTTTTCCTAAAAAAAATATTGTTATCCCCAATTTGATGAAAAAAAATATTGTGGTCAAGCAGATGACAAAAAAAATATTCTGAATCCAGATTTTTCCCATACCTTATAGTGTTAAATTTTGAAAAAAATAATTCGATTGATAGCGTCGAAAAATTAAACAAAAATTTTCTAACAAAAAACCATACCCCCACCCCCCTGCCTTGAAGTTAAATGGTTGCTCCCTTAACGACACCTGAGAACCTCTGTTAAGTCCAATTTGAAACTGTTACACCAGAGTGGATTAATCGCGAAAAAAAGACGTGGACACGCTTTCCGATTTGGTTAAGGCATTCAAATTAGAATTAAAAAAACTGAATGGGTCTATGGGAATACACATGCTACATCGATTTTTACAACACAAGATGTTGCTAAGAACCTGTCATGATAAATATGTTGTTGTTTCCGCAGATAAGATAAAGTCATAAACAACATTGTGTTTGTGTGTAATTCACATTACATAAAGAATTAGGTATTGACATTTTACTTGAAAACTCACGACACTTACCAAGGAGGAAATCCTAAATAATGACAGGTCTGATCACAAGTCCAGTAGTCATCACTTCTGTGTTGACATGAATAATCATTGTTATGGTAATAATTATGAATTAACTGTTTACAAACCTTTGAATTGTACGAAAAATTAAGGATTTTCTACTCCGGGGATAGATCACCTTAGCTCTATTTTGGCAAAATCTTTCGAAATTTTTGGTCCTCCATGCTCTTTAACTTCGTTCTTTATTTGGCCTTTAAACTTTTTTTATTCGAGCGTCAATGACGAGTCTTTTGTAAACGAAATGCGCGTCTAACGTACAAAATTGTAAGCCTGGTATCTTTGATGAGTTTTTTCTATGTTCTTTTGGAATTTCAACAAAGGATGAAGCACTGGATATTCCATCACTGTATTGGATACATTACGTTAGTGTACTTGTAAGCAACGATATATTGCTGGGTCGTCCAAGTGCTTCCGAAAAACCTTTTTCAAAATTATAGGCATCAATTTTATCCGCAATCAAAGCCGGGTGAAACTACATAGTTTAAAGGCGGCGTGAATCTGATGTGGATACTCAAAATTTCCAAAGATCTGTTAGAGTACATACAATCAACAATGCAGTGAGATATATACAAAATGTAAAAAAAAAAAAACAGATTGTTTCATACAATGTATAGGAATGGCAAATTTACTTGTCTCTTAACCATGGAGTTCTAAATTACATTTTCCAAAGGCTACTAAAATTGATTTGTAATAGGAAGAAAATAACACTTAAAAAATTTCGTGCGTCCAAAGTGCTTTTCTGAATAAAATTCCACCAGGCTTTTAAAGTTTTGGTTAGAGCGTTCCTGGTGGAGGTTAATCATTTAGAAACTAAGGTTTCAAATTCCTCAGGCAAAGTTGGACGACTATTTCTTTAGCTCTCTTTTGGTCAATAGAATTTGAAACCTTAGTTTAATAATTTCTAAATTTATCAACGGAGAATTTAAGAAAGGTATGACAAAAATCATGTCAGTACCGAAGCACTGACTCTTGAGCTCATGATATCATCAGAAGTAGTATCGAACTAAAATGAAAATAACACTGTATGACTATGTTGTCGACGAAGGGGTGCATTATGTTTTAGTATTATTTTTTCTTTTGCTTCTTCTGGTTCTCATACCACTTTTCCGCACCAATTTTTTTTCTTAATTTTTAGACATTGACATATGATATTTGACATGAACGTGCATTATCATGAGACAGTTTGTCGCATATTAACATGACCGTCAGGTGACTCTCACCTTTGACCTCATGGTCAAAGTAATTATTATCTTTTGACATAGGGTTTTGATATTTGGAACATGGGTTCAGCATATCAAGATGATGCTTCGATTAATATGACCATATAGACTTAAGTGCCTTGGTAAGGACTTAAAGCGAGTTCACCATAGGTTTTGCCCCGTGAGACATACCCCACCCCTTCATATCATTAATTGTAAAATATCTTGAAAACTGTAAATATACTTATCTCTAAACCATAATTGTTCTTAAATTTCACGACTAGTTGACAGTTTACCATAGATTTTGACCTGGGTGTCATGCTCCGTACTCATATCTTAAATGGTTAGATATGTTAAAAACTGTTCCGCTCCCAAACCCTTAACCATATATACTTCGATTTGACATGATATGACCTTTCCGCTGTTCCAAATGCTTTATTTTAGGGGTCATGCTTACATCCCTCTTATTTTTTTAATATCTCAACAACACTTCTTTGCATCCCTAGACCATATATATTCAAAATTGCCTTGTCAAGATCTTTCTATTACACCAGAGGACTGACGTTTAGATAAAGAAAGAGGAGACACAATGTTTAGTCTACTAAACAGTACCAACTAGTTTTACCTGTATTAAATGTGTAAATGAAACATCTGTTTTCTTTGGTCTTTATGAAAATTTGTCTCATTTGCCACAATATTACATCTTGTTTTTATAATTATAAGACAAAAATACAACAACAAAAACAAGAATAAATGCTTTCTATATTTTACGAGTTTTATGCATGCACTCGGATTGAATGATCAGACACAGAGGCGATCTAGCACATTTGTTTAATTTGTCTTTACTATATATATCTAAGTAAAAGATATATCTGATATAATTTTATAAGGCAAGACAACAATATGGGAATTTGAGCAACAAATATGACATAAGCGGCAGATATCAAGAACACAAGCTTGTTTTGCTATTCTTCGTAATGACTTAACCGGTAAACAAATAATATATAGTATATTTATATACAGCAAAGTATTTTAGCAAAAAAACATAAGGCTGGTAATCTTTTCTCTTCAGTTTGTAAATGACAAATGCCGCGACCAACAGTTGGAATCGCATCAACTTCTAACATAGCGAGAGCGATGTATAGACAGGGTTAGTATCTCCTACACTAGATACATCACCCAGCATACGAATCTACTTAATCAAAATTGTTACGATTGAGTATATAACACAATCTGTAAATTTACAGACCAATCTAGGGATCGAACCCACAACCATACTCGAGGTAAGTGTGCTAGCAATTACACTACCTAATTGTTTACTTTGTTTCACGTTTATACTTGAACCTCGCTCTGAAAGTAAGGTCAGTCGCAGTCAGGGGCGTTACAACATTCACGCATAAGCTGTGAACACTTTAAATATATTTCAAGGAGTGATCTCAAGACCCCATATATCAATCTATATAAACAATCTCTGGGTTTATTCTTTTAAGGGTAAGAGGTACGTAGTTGGGTGATCTCACAGATATTACGAAATTTTGAATGCCAGTAGAGCGGTACTGCATATGAAATTTCAAAAACTAATTTACATGTATGTAACTTTTACACACTTTCCAAGATAAAGCAAATTGATCATTCTGTAGATATGGAAGTACAATTGACTAGAATACACGTTATTAGAAAAGAATATTTGAATATTTTGACTTGAAATGCCTTATTCTGTAAAACCTGTCGTACAAACCTGTATTGGTATGATTAAAAGGCTGTTTGCAAGATGCATGGTTTTAATCACATAGCTCAAAACTTTCAGTGAATTCGTAAGTGAGCGTGGGTTTCTAGGGAATTTTTAATGAAAGTATGAAGGATGTTTAACAAATTGACAAGCTTCCTCGGTGTTTACAGACCCTTCCCTGTTGTCTTGTGGTAGTGTGCTCGCCCTGAGTGCGGTGGGTTGTTCGACCATCGACTGAGTGAGAGTAAAGACTTTTGAAATTGGTGTTTGCTGCTTTTCCGCCAAGCATGCAGTATTTAGGAGTTCAAGCAAAGAGTTGTCACTTCTGACATCAAAATATGAGTCGTAATGATATGTTTCCCTGGAGATTGTTAACTAATGAGCTAGAATATTAAAAAGCAGGGTATATTCATATTCAATCTTAACATATCATCAGCCTGTATAAACATTGGATATTTCCATTTCACTAAGTGTTTGCACGTCACTAGATTCTCAAAAGAAGAATACTGCATAAGTAACTCTTCTGTAGTCCTGATATTTACAGATAAATGACTTTGTTTAACGCTAAGCACATGTATGCAATTCTCCTTAAGGTCTAGTCATTGGACTTATCACATATGTGTTATCAACAACTGTTTCAGCTGATTAAAATGAATGTTGAATACATTAACAATAGATACAACACAGCATGGTATCCATTGTTTAAACTGGCGATGTTACTGATAAATTTTCCAGTTTTGCTGCACCATCCACTGTTAACTTCCAGATCTTCACAAAGATTTTTATCCACAGAGCTAATCATATTAATCGATTTACCAACAAAATCATCATTGATGCATTTTCCAATCACATGTCCATGTCGACCCGAAGCGGAAATGGAAAATGCAGTGCAATCACAAATTATTGGATTATTTCTTAATGATATTTCGGAGAAAAAACATGACACTGACTCTTCTAAAAATCTAAGAGAAGAAATGTTATTATCATCAAGAAATATTGATATCGGACCTTTTATTCCAGTAAATGCCAGTTTTGAAATCTCAGAAATATTCATGTTTTGCAGATAAATATGCTTAGCTTTAACTCCAGTTAAAAACATACTGTGAAGGGATTCGAGTCTGTTATTAGATAAATCTAAATCATCTAGTTCACTTATTGTTTGTAAAGGAATTAAAGGCACGTGTTCCATACCAACACTTTTGACAAACAACTTTTTCAGACTAGCTTCTATCCCACTGAACATCGTGTCAGTAAATATTAACGGGTTTCCACTTATATCTAAAACTTGTAGGTACGCTGTGGTATCAAACGAATCATTTTGTATATGTTTGATGAAATTATATGAAATATTTAGATTTAATAGCGAGTGGAGATCCATTAGTCCGATAACCCAGAAATACCCTCCTATCAACTTGTTAGAGCTTAAGTCGAGTGTCTGTAAACTGTTACCTAATCCTAGGAAAGCATATCTAGGGAAGCTGTTTATTTTGTTCCTTTGAAGATTTAAATACTGTAGTTTTGTCAAATTTGTAAATGTTCTTTCTGATAGGTACTGAATTTTGTTTGACGATAAATTCAGATGAGTAAGATTAAATAGTATTGAAGTTACTGATAGTGGTACTGTCCTTAATAAATTTTCGGATAAATCTAAAATCTCCAGTTGTTCTATTCCTTGAAATGCGGTATGTTCGAACAACGCTATTTTGTTAGAGCATAAACTGAGTCGTTTGAGCGAAAACATATTATTGCCTTTAAAGAGTGGAACAACTTTTATCTCGCCGGCACCGTTATTACGATCTATGTTTAATACATTCAAAGACGTCAGATTTTTAAGAAAACATAAACTGTTGGTGTTATCTAAACTTATTTTTGTAGATTTTAGGTGAAGAACCTGTAAACTTTCTAGTCCATCAAAAGGATTTGAATTCATTTGATAATTGAGTGTATTATCACTTAAATCAAGATTTTGAAGATGATGGAAGTTCGAAAATGTATCTCCTAAAATAGTCATATTAAGCATATTCCCCTCTAATGATAAGAACGTTAAGTTTTTAAAGCGACCCAAGTTCTTCAAAACACTTTGACTCAAGAAAGAAGCTGTTTTAAGATTCAATTCCTCTAACGAATCGTCGATTATTTCAAGAATGTTTTTATAATTTTCGATATTTTTGTTTTCACTTATATCTAATTTGTGAATTTGTAAGTCGACAAAAATCTGAGGTGGTAGTATTGAATTTGTATTTCGTAAATTCAATTCATGTATATATAATCCTTGTAATTTACTAAAATTATTATAATTGTCTTGGCCGTGAAAGAACATTTTTCTGTCTGAACAGTCTATTGTTAAAACAGGTTTAGAGCTACATGAACACGGATCCAGATCTGGACAACTCCAGGTACTAGAAAAAACAACGGAACACAAAATGATGCATCGAAAAATTAACATGGTCTTCAACCTGAAAGAATTAAAAAAAAAAATTAAGGATAATTACACTTCTAAGTATTACATATATAGTGTGAACAATAATTATTAGAATATTAACTAAATAATAATAAGAAATACAAAATAATACGTACCGACATGATAAACAATAAAATCATAATCATTAAACACTTAATAGCCCTTTGCTTATCGATCCCACTAATAAATTCCTTCTTCATTATTATATGAACTTCCATCTAAATAGCCAATAAGGGTCATTAGGTTGTCCAGCCGTTTCAATCATTCTCTAATGCATCTCAATTAAGCATGGATATAATCGGTGCATTTCTTTGGTAGGATTCCAACTGGTGTCAGGATAAATTATATAGAATGATTAATTTCTTGACAAGGGAATTAGTTCCTTCATTTTCTACAGAATTACTTAAAGAATACAATGTTTGATATGCCCATATGAGGCTATTCTGATTTTCTATCAATGATTTTATGTTTATACAGCATGACAGAGTCAGCTATGAGTCAAACATTTCCAGAAACAGATCTGAATTCTATATATAGACTATATATATGTGTACTTCCATTGAACAAAAACAGTCCTAAGTCAGGAATCTGATGTTCAGTAGTTGTCGTCTGTTGATGTGGTTCATAAGTGTTTCTCGTTTCTCGTTTTTTATATAGTTTAGACAGTTGGTTTTCCCGTTTGAATGGTTTTACACTAGTATTTTTTTTTTGGGGCTCTTTATAGCTTGCTGTTCGGTGTGAGCCAAGGCTCCGTGTTGAAGACCCGTACTTTGACCTATAATGGTTTACTTTTATAAATCTCGACTTGGATGGAGAGTTGTCTCATTGGCACTCATACCACATCTTCTTATATCTATATACCATAGATAACTATATTTCACGATTTTAAGATAATTTGTATTGGCTTGTTTTCTAAGATCATCAACTTTATTTTCGAGTGTATGTTTTTTTTAGTTCTTAATTTAAATTTTTTTTAGATAATCAAAAGAAATTATACGGAATTTCTTGATCGTCCATCTTTGTGTTATCATACTTGTTCCGGATTTTCCCAAACTTTTCCATATCTGTTTTTGAGAAATTTCGTAGCTCTTCAGAACAAATTTGACATGAAATTTATGATACCCGTTGATCAATTGGATCTTTGAAGATTTTAGCACTCATCGCATTTTTACTTGAACAGATCTATTGAATGTATTTAGAGCTTGATGGGATGCTTTTCGTTTTATCGAACCATTGTTTACATTTCGTCATCTTAGTTGTCTTTTTTACATATTTTCTAGACTGACAAAGCATACCAATAGCATAATTTATGAATATATATTCTATTTCTTTCACAGTATTATTTATATCGTTAGCATTAATATTTTGATTATTACTTAAATCATTCAGACTATTTTAGAAACCTGAAATAGCCCATTGACGTTCATTGCCCTTATCTGAAATCCCATCTTTTATAAGATCTTATAGGATTAATCGAAAAAAAATCAAAATCTTATAAAAATGTATAATATTACTCTAATACAGTTATAGTATTGTCCTAACATGAGTAATAGACGTGTTACGAAATGGTATATACTTGACGCTGGGATTGACAAATTAGTCTTTAGATGTGGGTATCATATCAAAACACAAAAGTGATTTAAAGATTTAAATTAGACTTGGAATGGGAGCCAATAATGAACGATTTTTTTTATAAACAAAGGGTGTCTTGTTTTGCTAGGATTCAAGGCCTAGACACAAGAAAATTTTGTCGAACTGTATTTGAAGAGCTAAAGTCCCTAATGCTTCAAAAGGGTGAGATTATCCACAGTATAAGATCAACTTGTTTACTATGGTTAGCCTGGATCACTTTTACAACTCGAATGTTAACTCGAATATATTTAAACAGTTTCTTGGAAGGTTTGTCCGTAGAAAGGAATATCAAGTAATAGATAATAAAAGCAATCTAGATGTTTTCTCTAAATTTAATTTTGAACCAGGAAGGCAGCTGTATCTGTCAAACTTGCTGGACTTTAAGTCTGCAAGACTAAACTGGTTAACACGAACAAACTGTTTACCTGTGAACCAAGTCTTATTTATGATGAGTCTTAGCGAAAGTCCCACTTGCCAAATGTGTTTATATAAATTTGACGAGTCCATTGAACACTTTTTACTTGAGTATTCTGGATTTTCTTCTATACGAATTGAATACTTTACTGATATAAATGAATATTTATTCTACCTTCCCAGGCTTCTGCTTCATAGAGTTATCGTCCTACGATAAAATACAAACACTGATAGGTTATTATTTTTATCATGTTGATCCCTATATTAGTAAAAATATGGACAGTTTAAGTGAAAAGATGTTGAGCGAAATGTACTCTCACAGATCACTGGTTTTGGAACCTAAATTTTAAATGTGATTTGTTTGAGCAATATGATTTATGTAACTCTTAGTTTAATTTATATTTTTATGTTGCACATAATGTGTTATTTCTTTTATGTAAGCGGTCTTATTTTATAATGTTCCAATTTTTAACTCTGAAAGGACATATGAATATTTTTGACTTGTCTGTATATATATTCATTGCATATGCTGTTAGACGCATTTGTGGATACTTCGTCCGCAAGTGCCCCCGTTGTAAGAGGTAGTTTCTAAATAAATATATATATTTACATATGTAATTACATGTGTATCAATTGAATCTTGTATATAATCTGCATATAGTACTGAAGTCAACGTATATTTGTTCCTTATAACAGATTTCCGTTTGGAAACTTTATTATAGAAAATTTCATTATAAATATTCCTAAACGAGTATTCATTAAAATTTTGGAATATGTATTATAGTTTCCATAATATTTCTTACATTTGGAACACTAAAGGGGGACAAGGGGATTACAGAAAAGAAATGGAACCAAAAGAAAGGAGGGTGGGAAGCCACGAGAAAAGATTTGGGTTTGAGAGAAACAAATCCTCTGCCCTCCCTTATAAATTAAAGCTACATGTACTTGGTATTTTCAATGTTGACTTAGAAGGGGGAGTTTACTCGGAGTCAAAACTTATGAACGGGTTGCAAACAATGGAAAATCGTTTTGTTATATAATACGATGAAAGTACGGCTTGTGAACAGGCGGTAGGCGGGTTGACGTGCAGGCGAGTGTTAAATAAGGGGACCAATTTTGTGTAATACACTCATGTCGCAGTTTTTAACCCAAGAGCTATCAAATTTGCACAATGCATATGCATATACATGTACAAAGAAAATGTGCACCTCTATTTTATAGATTTATTTTGGATATATTTTGTAGACTTCAGGAGACTTCATAAGCCCTCATTAGACCTTGCAAACGATCTAAAGTATAATAAAATGTTTAATTCATACTCAGGAATGTATCTGCAGTGCAATGTTTGTTTCTTTTTACTGCATATGTTATGGTTAACAAGAAAGAAATTCATCTAACCGGGACTGTTTGGAGGCTCTACTATACATATATGTTTATCCAAATTGAAACATGTTGCATGATTGTAGTTTCAGAGAAAATGTGAGAATGCTCCTTCGATGTTTCTTATTTGTCACTAGTTTCATTTTAATTTTTTGTTTGCCTATAACTTCAAGAAAAGCTTGAAGGCTAATCGTAATTTGTTTTTTTTTTTTATGAAAAATTGAAAACTTAAAGCTTAACAACGAGCAGAAATTTGAAAAATAAAATAAAAACTGAACTTGCGATTATCGGAGTTTCGGGTGTATACGGAACACGCTATAATGCATTTAAAGCTTTCAAAGTCTTTGAAAGCAAATTGAGTCATCCAAGAGAAAAAAAATAATCAGACGGAAGAGCTTGGTGCGGGTGTAATGTAGTGACAGATTGAACTTTTCCAAGAACTGTAATAAAAAAACTCAAACTGGCTCACTATGCAAATTTTAGCAATCTCTGAAAATGTGTTTCCCTATATACCTTAATATATTAAAGTATATAGGTATTTATTTTAAAGACAAGTGTCTGTGAGCAGTGCATACTTACATTACCATCAATCCCATTCCCCCTGGTTTTCCCGTCCTATAATCACAATGATATTTGAAAATGATTAACACGTTTGGTGTAACACCAGGGAGTTCCAAAACAAAAATGAACCAAGACGTGTGTAGGATAGCTGTTCAATTCAATATACGGAATAGGGTCTCTAAAATGAGTATTTATCCCGAAACTTGCACCCAGAGTCTCAGAATCTGTGACAAAAAACTGAAGAGTGTTTGAGAAAATGATGCACTAAAGACGTCTACTTTTCTTTTTTTGCTGGAAATTGATCGGTTTTGGTTCCGTGCATTATAGTATTTGGTATTAGCAATTCTCAATAAAGAAATTTTAACATGTATGGCGTCCTTCACGGTGTTCTGCATGCTTAACATTCGATTACCTTCAAAAATTTTGTCATTAGAGACACAATAAATTTCTGTGACATTCATATACATAAGTTCTGCGATCGCATGTTATTTATAATGTTATTCAATTTTTGTATAAGAAAACTGTACAACAGATGAGGTTGTGTTTCATCACCAGCTGTTGCACCTTTTATTCATATTATCTTGTGACCGATTTAGTGTCCTGCGATGCTGGTGACATTTCAAATCGATTTTGTTCACGTCTGCATCGCTATTAATTTACGATTTATTGGTTTGGGAATTGTTTTCTCAAATGAAATCAAGAGAGAGACTATGAATAATTAAGTTTAGGTAAATACGTGACCCTTTTATTGATGAATCGAGTTGACCGTTTGGCTAATGTTAAAGTTGTCGCACAAAACGCTATTTGTTAAACATCCAGCAGGCATTAATGGTAATTGGTTCTCAATAAACGTACAAAACACTTGACTCTACTATTTCAGATTAAAGAGAATTGTAACCTCAGGAAATCTTTCAATTTATCATTTATAATATCAAAGTCTTTTGTGTGAAATGAAAATGATATAAAGTATTGAGTGCCAACAGCCATCCATTCATTATAATTATTTAAACATTTAGTCACCAAAGTCAAAAGATTATAGCACTATAAAAAGCTACATCAAAGTGGCCGTCAGATTTAACAGTTCCGTGCCGTATTTTCTATGCACACGTTAATTTGTTCTCTATTCAATGTTTTCTTTTTATTTCGCAATATGCACTTGTTGTTTATAACACAGCGCGCTGATAATTAAACTTATTACCTTTTTATTATTTCAAAATTATTATCAATTATGTTCAATATATATATTGTGTCATTTGTTTTTGAAGTGGTCTCGAAAAGTGAAAGCTTGAAAACCAAGCATGCCGATAAAATATTTGTTATTCACTTTAACATGGTAAATTTTCAATATCCAGCTCAACAATTAGATTTGAAGAATACTTAACTGCAAACTTTCGATCGTCTACACGACTAGATCTATATTTTTTCTTGTTTTTAGCTAATAACAGAACTATATCCGTAAAATTATCTTGGTGTTGAAACATATTTGTATTTTAAATAATTGTCCATCACTCTATCGGCCTGTATGTGCACATAACCAGCAATGATTCATTCACCAATTTATTGAAACATTATTCACAGTAGTAAGTGATCATTTAATACTGAGATCTCAACTTGGTGTGAAGGATGAAGATTTTAAAACGAGTCGAGACAGCACGATACACAAGGAAATACCCACAGAAAAAACATGAAACATTAAAATACACTAGAAAATAACCATATATCAAAACCATACATGAGACAGCAAGATACACAAGGAAATACCCACAGAAAAACATGAAACATTAAAATACACTAGAAAATAATCATTTATCAAAGCCATACATGAGACAGCAAGATACACAAGGAAATAGCCACAGAAAAACATGAAACATTAAAATACACTAGAAAATAACCATTTATCAAAGCCATACATGACAGCAAGATAATTGTCATTCACCTTTTATTACAGAAATACATCAGAAAACAAGAATTATTATGTTATTGTCTCGTTGTTTCATATTTCTTTTATTTATATAAATAACTCTTTACAAATACACACATGTTGACATTAGTCCCTTTTTAGACAAAGTAAAAATTGTTAATTCTGTGGATAGCCTTCCTCTGATTCTTTGCAAAGTTTTGTACAGTAGTAGTAAGCAACCTCCAAGACCGTCTAATATTACCGATACAATTTCAATTTGTTTGGTCCACTGCTTCAAAGTTCTTGACCGATTCTGGGATAGTATTAGACTTGCTACAACTCCCTTTCTTTTATTTCTTTCTTACTAATTTATATGTTTACTGAAAACTGCCATGATACTGAATGCTCCAGTATACCGATGGCCCTTCCTCTGAATGTGTCAATATAATGGCAATCTCTTAGCTATAGCAGTAAAATTGTTAAAGGGGTAAAATTGAAAAAAAAGCAAATTAGGAAGGGACATGTAGTAAGTCTAGGATAGTATTAAAGAACCATCTGGACTGACAATTTGAAAAATCTCACAATGTTAACAATGATAATAACTCTTGTGATAGTCAATTAATCACTCAATATATTTATAAATTGATAAGAAACGTTGCTTTATATACATAGAGAATTTTTAAATGTATTAAACAAATAACTAGAAATACATGAAAATAATATCCATATTTGAATGTTTGAATGTTAATCAACACAGTCAAAATTGAAACAATAATGTAACGCTAAAAATGGAAAACATATAACCTACTTACCGAATTAAAATAATCAAATTCCTAAACTTTCTTCAGAGACAGCTCGGAGTCTGGAACACCCTTAATTCTGCCAATCAGACGACCAACTATACGCATGCTCAACTAATTTTCTATGATTTCGTAGAGGAAAAACTGTCAAAACTAAACATCAAATAATAAGAGAACTGACTGAACACAGATATTGTCTGTCTGAAGAGATACAAAAATCAATTTCTTTTTATAGTCAATACAGATCATTCTCAAATAATTCTATCAATGTTCAGGAAAACTGAAAAACAAACATTTCGAAAGGTTTGTTTTACTTTTATCAAATACTAGTAAGAGGAAAGGGTGCTCAAATATATGCAATTTATTATTTATAATATGAATGCTACAACAAAGACATTCTGATAATGTTTTGCGCATGATGTCAACCTGAACATTCAATGTATGTCCAATGTCAAAAGCTTTAAGAATATATTCTATTTTATTATATAACTAGATTCTGAATAAGTTTGGGTCTTTAGTGGCATCTCAAATAAAAACACTTAATTTGACTGACGCCAGGTACTAACTTTTCTGATTGGCTGGGGTTCTTCAAAACTATTTTTGAACACATGCGCAGTAAATATATAGTCCAAGGGCATATGAACGTAGCCAAACTATAATACCAAATTCGTCGGATGCAATGCATTGAAACCCAAGAAAAATAGAGAAAAATTCAAATAGTCAGCCCGGCCTTCAATCTTGCTGTGTGGGAAATTGTGTAAGCTCTAGGTAGATTGAGGTCTGGAGCTGGCATGTCAGTAACTGTTAGTAGTCCTTTGTTAATTTATGTTGATCATTGCCATTTTGCTTAGTTTCTTCTGTTACCTATTCTAGCATCGGACTCGGACTTCTTTTAAACTGGTTTTACTGTGCGTATTTCTGTGTGTTTGTTTATTCTACAGTGGCTAGAGGTATAGGGGGGGTTGAGATCTCACAAAACATGTTTAACCCGCCGCATTTTTGTGCCTGTCCCTAGTCTGGAACCTCTTGCCTTTGTTAGTCTTGTATGTTATTTTAATTTTGGTTCATTTATATGTTTCGGGGTTTAGTGTAACGTCCATTTTCGCTGAACTAGTACACATTTTTGTTTAGGGACCAGCTGAAGCCCGCCTCCGGGTGCGGAATTTTCTCACTGTGTTGAAGACCCATTGGTGGCCTTTGGCTGTTTTCTGCTCTTTGGTTGGGTTGTTGTCTCTTTGGCACATTCCCCGTTTCCATTCTCAATTTAGCTTTATCTTTCGAATTTTGAAGTTGCAAAAAGAGGACGAAGTACATTTTATATAATTCTTTTGCAACATCTGTTTGAGAGGTCTACATATATGGTAGCAATACTGTAGTTACAAGTTCACCTGACACTTCTATCTTATTTTTTGTTAAAATGTCAACGTTACACGGAACATTTGGATTAAATAATGTAAATCTACTTGTGCTTTATTCATAAAATATTTTGATTTTATTTTTTTTCTTGACTCGTTTGTTTTTAAAAGAAAAGACTAATCTTGAACCCTCAAAGATCTGGCAGCAATATCCAATAAGGAAGAAACAAAATAAATAAGACAAAATATAGATGTCAAAAGTCTACTTGTTCGGAGAACAATTTGAAGGTCGTTCACGTGCGATAATAGTCTTTTTTAAAAGCATATGCCTTCGTGATCTCAAAATGATGTATTCACAAGGTGCAGTATTGTAAACATTAAAATACAAAACGCCAACAATATAATATAATTTTTATGCACTTTTACAAACTGGAAACGCCTTTTTGGGGCAACATACGGCATTTGTAAATCCTTTGGTGGGAGCTATCTTGGTCGTCAAACAATATGAAGTTGCGCTTGATGTCTCAAACCTGTATCCCCACTTTTACTTTTCTCTAACTGTTTCGGCTTCTGAGTTAAAGTTTGAAAGGTCACGATGACCTTGACATTTGACCTTTTACATTTTTTCTAGATCTGACGTCAAGAGGAAAATGGTTATAACCAGAATCCCTACGACTTACGGTGTTAGAATTTTGTCGTGTGACGGAGTCGACTTAGATGTCGTGCTGGGTTATCTATTATAAGGATTCGTCGAGTTGTATATGTCAAAATGAAATTTGACTTTCGAGAAGATAACCTCGTAAGAAAAGAAAGTTTGGCCTGCAAGGGTCGATTTCGAATAGTTTATGCCTGCCCAATACTTTTTGAAAAAGTTTTGTATTCCTATTTAGACGAAATAGAATGTATTCACATCATTGGTGAAAGATCAGTCCCATTAGATAAAAAGTATTTAGACAATTGCTTCAATTGAAAATTTAAAAATCTAGGCTATAAGATTTATTTTCAATATTGGCATTGTAACAATATACAGCGGTGTTTTAGGGTCAACGGATGTTTTGTTTGATTCGAAGACTGAATTGCTCGAAGCCGCAGGCTGAGGTCAATAGTTCAGTATGAGGGTCAAACAACAGATGTTGACCGAGAATCCGGTTTATAACTGTTTGATTATACCGTTCCTTATCAGCTGTTTGTCATCCCCGAAAAAGTAATTAACATATTGGAGGCTTAAATCATGCAAAAACAATTTTTTTTTTAAATTAATACAGCCGGTATAAAATCAGTACCATGGCCAATACAAAAACAGCCAGTTCATGATATTTTTATGAAACGATTCAAATAAACCTTAAAACTTCTGTAAGGCATATACGAGAAATCATATTTGAAAACAATATATGGTACATTTTTATCTAATATAAATTTCTGATTTCCTTGCTGGGATTTAGATAAATGACGTGCTTTTGTTGGTACTTTCAATTCGATGGACACTTATGACTTTTCATCTCTCTACACTACACATCCACACGATCTCATCAAACTGAAGTACTTATTTTATCAAAAGGTCATTAAAAAAATATTATTATAATCTGTCTGTTTGAATCATAGTTTATGTACATACTTTGTAACGATCCGTCTAAATTACATTTGATAGAAAAAACTTTGAAAAGATCTACCGTTACTCAAGAAAACTCTAAACAAAAACTTATGACAAAAGAAACTGATTTTTCGTTTTCTATTGTTAATTCTTTCTAAGACGATTGTATTCATTTTGCCGGCCTCTTTTGCGGTCTGTTTTCCTTCAACCTCCCTCGTCAATGTTTTAGATTTTAATAAACATAATATGTGTATAACTGGTAAATTATTTAGTAAAAGACTTTGTTACCACAAATTACGGAATCCCTTTACAATATTCTGTCATAGATACAAAGATTTGGTTAAAAAGTTTGTCTTTACCTGTAGAAACCTTATTATATCACACCCTAATTTTACAAATTTGTTTATAGAGCCCGTAAATTTAGATACAACTAGGACACACCCAAGACATCGCGGTTCCGTGACTGAATTAAAGTACCTACGCCTTATTTCTAGCCTGGATTTTTAGTATTCGTATGATCATCTGATAAAGTCATGCTGATTATAAGGTGCACAGTTTTCTCTGCTTTCGAAATCTTTCTGTTTGAACCCGTCCTGGTTTTCTTATTACAATAGACTTACTATAAACTAAATTTATCTTTTTAACTAATTAACCAAAATTAATAGTGGTATTCAGGTGGAAGAAAGCAGTGTAATATTGATATAATTCAACTACTGGAAGAATTCCAGGTTCTCCTGATAGAGGAGGAATTTACAGAAGGTAGCAGGAGTCGGTTTCACAAAAAAACTTACGACTAAGCTTGATCGTAAGTATACTGAATTGTTCATGACTTACGATCAATCTTAGTCGTATTTTTTTTGTGAAACCGACTCCAGGTAACTACAACCGGAAACTACACGTGACATATACTAATGGTATCGGATTCGACCCGGAACTTGGTAATATTAATTATGTGGAAAATAAAACGGCCTGGAATGGTGTAATTTTTTAACAACACCATTGTCCTATATTAGTTATATATAAAGTTGAAGTTTTTAATTCGTCGTTTTTACGTCATGCCGGCTAACAAATTGGACCTCGTTGTTTTAGTAGTATAGATTCATGTGAACTTTTTTATCCTTTGAATTCACTTATCCTTAAATGTTTTTAATTTAGCACTGTAGTAAGGTTTTTTTTTGTGTTTTAAATTGATTTTGTTTTTAATTGATTAAGACATAGCTAAATACGTAACTTTATACAGTTATAAACACTTATGGTCCTACATCCTATCGATTCTTATATTTTGGCATTGGCCAAGGTTGTGCTTTTCTCAGACTGTAAATTAAGTCTTCACACTTTTTTTGTGTGTATTGTTTTTTTTTTTTTTAGTTTGAAATGACATTGAAGCAGCTTTCAGGAATTGCGAGTACTCTTAGATTGGTATTTTGGATTTTTTTATCTTTTCAAACTAATTTTTACAGAGGATGACCTTGAGGTCACTCCGATGTATTGCTATCGCCTAAATTTCCATTATGCAAATTAGTTTTGGGATTTCAACCGATCTATAAAAATTATAGATCCGCGGTCATTACAAGGGAAAAAAGTGCATTTTTATACCTGCGATTCCGTTCTCCGTTCGTACGATGTTTCATCAAAAAATGGAATCATTTCAGTTGTTGATTTAGTACTGAAAATTTGACTGAATTATCTCCTTATTAAATACGGTTTTATATGTTTAATAGGTGTTTAAGAAAGAGGTCAGGTGCTCATGTTCATTCATAAAATTATCGTTCATTCATGAATTTATCGTAAAATCAAAATCACTACACAGGTCACACAGGTTGTATACGTAGGGTCAAAAGATTACCTGTATAGTATCTAAAAATAGACAAACTTAACTGACTCCCCTTACTGTAGTGTGTGATAACATTTTGTGAGGGAATTCGATGTTTGCTATACCACTGTTCATTTCAACGCACTTTATGACGATACCACTTTATCAATATGAATGAAATTTTTTGCAGTGTTTTAAGAAATAATTTTACTTTAAAATCGCGTATCATTTGTGAACTATTAAATGTTTTACAAGGACGAATTTTCTGTATAAAGTCAATAATTGTGTGAACTTTTGAAGCCCAAACTTTTTATAG